CAAAGATTTTTTGAAAGATTTTTTTGAAGAACATCTGGAGTATATCGACCATAAAGTGGAGTACAATCTTAAATAAATATAGAAATTTCCCATTATTTTCCGAAAAGATATAAGAACACTACCACGTGAGGTTTGCTCCAAATGAAGAAGAGTTTTGTACCTAGCTTCCGGTAAGTTATATTTGAATGTCAGAAAAGATATTTTTGAAGAACGTTTAAACAAATCGCAGCTTCGTGTCCGGCGTGGTACCCCCGATGCAGCCTTATAAGTTCGGCTATATCTAATCTACCTGCACCCATCTAACATTTTACCTTTCATCTACTTATTTTTAAAAATTTTGGTATATTATAAAGTTTGACTTTAAAAACCTCGAAGGAAATGTAACAGTTAATACATTAATCAGACACCACCTGTTCAAAGTAGCCTTCCAATTTTTACAATTTCAGCTAAGACACAACTGACAATCCAGATTTGATTAGTAAAAACCCACTAATAATAGAGAGTAAGCATCTAAAATATGACCTTTATATTTTGCAGCTTGAAATGTAAAATCTATGATGCGGAGTAGAGCTTCCATGTGCGTAAATCATGCATTGATAAAAATTGCGGAAATATTGGGTTTACATTTGAGCTTTTCTATATGGTCCAAGAACAATCAACGACATCTTTATTTAATGACATTTGGATGTTGACGCATTTTCCACAATGTCATCATAGCGGGCCGGGCTCTCCTAGTGCCACGGTCCTCCAGAATTTGTGGAATTGTTTGGTCCTCGTCGTCTATCATAACCATTCATTCCTCTCCGTGGATGCTCCCCTCCTCGTTCTCCGGGCCCCCAATATGGGAAGCCTCCTCGGTGAGGCCCATGCCCGTACCCTGGACCCCATGGTCGTCTTCCATGATGAGGTGGAGGGCATGGTGGGTATCCGCCAGGACCTTCTCCACTGCCTTCAATATCTTCTCTTCTGTAGGCACCCCCTTGGCGATGAGTACCTCCTCTTCCCTGCCAGCCAATCCACCATTTAGCGTCCGTTGTGTTCGAGTCTTTCAGAAACAGTTCCGTGCTGTTCATATTCTGTAAAAAAACCGAACAGTTCAAGTTTAGAGATCAGCCAGAAATTCTAACTGATTAACTGCATCTTTTCAATTCCCCAATGTGCTAAGCTTTAGTTTTTTTTTTGCTAGCAAAGTCTTTTTTATTAACAATTTTAAAATCTTCCAACTCTCAAGGTATTCCACA